TTTAACGATTGTGGCAGGTACAGAGAAATAAAAACGATGCTGGAATGCTCAGTCTAATCAGATATCTTAACGTTGCTGAATTTTTCTATTCTTGTCCAACCTTGATGATGATGATGATGATGGATCCTACATTCTATGTTCACTGTGTCGGAATGGTGAAGCTTCTTGCAAATCTGTGATCCAAAGCAGCTGCCTGTTCCGTAATAAATTCGAAAACCATCATTCTGTTTTTGGACTATTTCGTATTGTTTATGGATTGTATGCCTGTGCTTCAGTAAACAGCTTCAGCTTTAATTAAAAAGTAATACTGCTTAAAATACAATTATGATCTGATCATCTTTTCGACAATTCTTCAGCATTTATTTACTGGAATTTCACATCTGTAAAGCTGAAAAGAATTTAACTAAGCTACGCATAAGATGAGTCAAGCGAGTTAACGAAAGTGATCTGACATACGCAGAGCGTAAAATTCCACTCGTCGCTTCTCAAATCAATGAAGCGGAACTCCCGTACGCTTTATCGGAAACATATTTAGGAGCCTAACGAAATCTGAGCTGCAAGAAGCTTTAAGATATCCAGGACCTAGTAGCTACATGGTTTGAATTTCGTTAAATTAGCTAAAGCATTTATGCAAGAACGGCTACCGTGGTGACAAAGGCTCAGCTTTCACTCGACTTCAAGTACATTTGCATGACGCTTCGTGAAAATGGGCTCAGTTGGATGGTACTCAGGCTTATGATGCGAGAAACGTAGAAACGCATCTTTGCAGATCCACCGTAATTCATGCATATGAACAGGTAACATATCAAAACCAGATCATCCGGCTGGAAACGGTAAGGCTTCTTCATGAAAATCGAATCGATATCAGCCAATACTTGATGTTCAATGCGGTCGCTAGTGAACGATAGGAGGTAGGCAACGATTGGAAGGTGATAGTGCCTCATGCGCTGACAAACGCCAGTTCGAATCATTTCCAGAAACACGTCTGCAAACTCTGTCGGCTTGACAAGTCTAACGATAGCGTCAAACAGTCTCAGCGATTCAACCGTACCGAGCGTAAACACGCGACGCACACACTCGTCGTACAGAGACAACGTCAGAGCTTCGAGAAAAATTCCTTTCTTGTCCTTAAGCAGAACCAGATAATCAAGCAGGTCAGCGACCATGAAGGTTTTGAAGTGAACACTCGTAATGGGAACACTCTTTAACATCGTGCGGATGTACGTCTGGGAATCCATCGATTTCACCAGTTCAGGGCCACCGTAAAGCAGCTGCAGCAAAGTGCCCAAAATTGTTTCGTACCTTTGCAGATCACGCTGCATGCTTGCAGAAGCTTCGCCTTCAGGACGGTACGACGTTTTAGTCAAAACGTCCATCAGCACCAAATTCGGCATGTTTTCACTGTGACGCCGAATGCACTTCGCGAATGCTCGACCTACTTTCGTAGATCTCTTGTCGACCAGATTTACGTAATGCATAAACACCGTGCGTTGCAACTCGTTCGCTTTCAGGAGCCACGCAAATGTAACATCATATGAATGCCGTAACTCGGCTTCTGCTACAAATCCACCGCCGCGCCTGGGAACGACAGTTCGAGCTCGCAAGGCGTTTCTGAACATTCTACAAACGTTTAATTGTATACCTCAGCAATGATCAGAAGTGCTAGGTATGATCCAGAAACGAAAACTCACTTCAGTTACGCATAAAGTTTAATGCAAAACTAGAATAATACAGAAGTGCTACCAAGTTCATTTCAGTACGCATGTTTAGCAATATAGCAATCATTCGCGTCAGTGTCCACGCAGTCCATACGATGACCGCCGGCGCTGCCGCGCAACGCTCGGTCGAACGAACACACTATGCCAACTTCACTTCCACTTATGTGGCCGAGGCATCATATCTAACAAAAACTGTCGCTGCAAAGCGGCCGCGGCGTTTCTCTGTTGCTGAAAATCTTTCAGAAAGTTTCTCGGAAAGTTCTGTATCCAGGTCTGTGGCAAACCTGCTGCCGTGGCAGCAGCCGCTGCAACAGCGGCAGCCGGGAAGCGTGCTGCCAGCAGCGGGTTCCATCCGATGCCAACCATTTGCGGAGAAAAACCTAATTGCAGGTTAGGCAGCATGTTGTTGAACGTGGACGCTAAATTTCCTGCCGAACTTAAATTACGATTAGTAGCCGACGGTCCATTTGCAGCGAACGCAGCACTCATTGCTGACAAGCCAGGCTGTCCCTTCGAATGCGGTGATGAGAAGGAATTGTTTAAACTTGGCGTGGACGCCGAATGATGCAACGACGCAAAGTTGAACGTGCCTTCCTTGATCTGACGTTCGATCTCCTGTTCCTGCTGCAAAGCTTTGACGAACGCTTGCTTCAGACGATTTGTGTGCTCGGACTTCAGCGACTTTTTCTGATTCGAACGGACGCACTTCTCACACATGATTTCTCCGCGTTCCTGTTTCCATGAAGGCGTGAAGTCAGTGTGGCACTGTGCACAGATGAAAGGCTTGCAAAAGTACGCCTTATTGCAATGCAAGCCAGTCACGGGCATGATTTCATCGCACTGATTTTCTTTATCACCCGCCGATTGTTCAGATGCTGAGTAGGCAGCTGGCGAGTCTTTGTTGCGATGCCTGTCCTTATTACTCAGCACCCTCTGAACCACTTCATCTAGACCAACTAAATAAAGGAACTCTGGCTGGTGAGGATTCGGAATAAAGTGCATTTCCGGCGGTGGTGGTTTTGGATGCGGAATCTGCAATAAAGTTTTCTCCAACTGCTTTCTCAAAGCCAGCTTAGCAGCAGCTTGTCTTTGAGCTGGAGTTTGAATGTCACTCGCATTCGGACGAATATGCGGCAAATGACTGGCAGGCACGGTCAGCTTGGGTTGATACGGCGCATGTATGCTTCTCACCGTTGTGGCGTTGTTGACCGCGTTCGACACACCGCTCTTTTGATAATTTTGACTGTCTAAAACAGAATATTAGCAGCGAAGCAGAATACAAAAGATAAACTTTTCGGGTTGAGAACAGGCGTGTGAGTTTCCTGACATCCAGTCTTCTGAGGAAGCGATTGTCTCAAATAAGGCGTTGCAATTGGTGGACGATAGGCGGGCAAACGAGGTCCGATACGGGACTGATTTTCTGGACGCAATACAGTAGGATTAATATGCGATCGAGCAAACGACGAATGACTATTTGGAGTGAGATCCTAAATGAGATCAAAATATGTTAATTTTAAACAAAAGTTGGGACTTTTTTGCTTAGATAACGTTTTTTGCTTAACACTTATCGTAATCGTGACTGCGAATCCTATCCTGGGCTAAAGACTAAAAATTATTCTTATGTCTAAATATCAAGCAAGACCAAATGCCATTTCAGGGCCCCGGACTGCGTTGCCTAACAAGTCGATCAATCCGAAGCCAGGCATCATAAAGGCAGACAATAAATAATTATAAGTAATCGACACAAAGCTTTCGGATCACCATCCTCTGCAGTGAAGTTAAGTTTAACAAGCAATTTAAAAATTATGCATGACAACGCCGAAGGCTGCAAATAAAGATTATTATGAAATTCAACTTATAAAAATTTTTCAGTGACGTCCTTTTAGGTATTGAGCAACTAGAAAACCGCTTCCAGACATGAATTTCCCACCTTCGTTCTTTAACAAGCGGGCTGATCAAAAAACTCTTCTCGTTTTGTACAGCAGTGGTATGTATTCCGAGGCAGAAAACATAATGCCGTTTTAAATCCAATTCATTTAAATATTCCCGTCCAGTATATGAACAGTTTCATGTATAGTACGCAGACCATTATCCAATTCGAAGCAAGATTAATAACCCTCTTTCAAGAATGCAAGCCTACCGTAGAATAAATAGGGCATCCTTAGTGAAGTTACTCTCCCCTTCCTCGGTTGAATAACACGCGTTTGCAGGTAAAGGAACCGTGGCTTCGTTTGCGAACAACCAGGTGTTTATGAGTGCGACGCAAAGGCACCAGATCTACTCTACAAACTGACAAACAATGAAGATTAGAGTCTAGTGTGGCGGAGCAGTGGTCGGCAAACAAAATCGATCGCGCTGGTGTTGCCTTGCCTACTATTACTTTTCCTTGGAACAATTCTGCTAGAGTTCCACTGAATGATACGGTTCTTCGCGATACCGATATCTGCTACAACTGAACCTTTTTCATCGTTCCGCCATGGCAAGTCATGCATAGCCGTAGAAGACTTCTGAGTTCTGGTCAAGTTTTATATATCAAATTGTCTCAATAAAGATGTCTAACGCGGTAAACAATATTAGGTGTCGCTTTTTGAGGTACGATTGCTCTCTTGCACACAAGACTCATATAGTTTTGTTTTACGGCTAGCTGAATACCGCACAGGTTCGTGAATCGCTTTATTGTTACGTTCATCTTTATTTGATAAAAATCATCAGCACAGGTCTGATTCCGAAGTTCTCCGTCGCACAGCTGTCGGATGAGTTTACAGTTAAAGGCTAATTCCGCTAAAATGTTCCCAGTCAAAGAATCCAAGTAGCGGCTATGCCGCCTTAGCTGTTGACCAGATTGCCGATCTGCTATGCTGAACTGTGATGTGACTCGAGTATATGCTTACGTTTCGGAAACACTGGGCATACTCATCCGGCGTCTGCAAAGAGCCCACTGACGAAGACAATCGCAATCCCTGTTTCGCTGATCATTACGTTCTTTTGCATAAAAATGAAAAAGGATTCCGGGGAACCGGTTTTCCGTCAAAAAGGATGGAAAAGCTGTGCTTTATTAGTTATTAGCTCTAACGCTGTCTGCTCACAGGTTCTCGTTAATGACAAGCATTGAACGAAAATAAACATGATGATAAAAAGGCTTTTCATAAAGCCGAATGGGCGCAAGCAGCGAAGACAAAAGCGTTGAGTGGTACATCACGGGAAATACACAGGCACGTACCATTTTAGCTGAAACGGTCAACTAATGGTTTAGTGGAAGCAAACAAAACAGCTCTCAGTTTGCGTTTAAAAGACAAATCTGTCAGAAGCTCTACTCAGCTACAACCCTAAAAACTGAGGTATCAGGTGGTAATCACTGATTAAAAAATCACGCGACCATTTCTATTCATCCTCGAAGGAAATGACGATGCACCAATTTTATGTACAGTTAGGCAAAGAACTGACACTCCTGTAATCTGATTAGCCAACTTCAGTGCATATTCGGCTTTTAGCTTACAACCCCCTGCATAATGTAGCGCAACACATTAAAAACGTCAGCAAATTAAAACCAACGAAGTACACAATTACAAAACCATAAAGTATTCTGATCGAGACTTAATATCAAGCATTAAAGTAAAATAAAACCAAAATTCAATTTGCACAAGGACGGAACGACGATGAATTGAAAGACTGATAGCAAATTATGTTCGGTTCAAACCTGCATTTTCAGAGCCTCCAAACAATGCTGGAAAGTAAAATGAGTGAACGTTAACATGAACTGAAACACTTTGGATCTTAAATTCTAAACATTACACCTAAATTCTAAACAATTATATACAAATGTACATATTTACACCGTGCTGTCGTTCAAACCTCCATCCCGTGGGGATCATCGGCAGCTGCGGAGTGTTCAGGCCATGGGCTTTATTTACCATTAAAGCAAATGAGCATGCGCATCGAGCAGCATGGCCATCCACTGCATATCGACAGCACAACATTGGCAGTATATAGTGCGAAATATGAATAACATTCACGAATGCAATCAACAGCGACCAAGGAAAGGCGCGCTGGAACGTACGAACGCCTGCTGATCGGCTTTTACTTCCAGAATCAAAAATAAATTTATACCAACGCTGAATGTCTAGAAACTTCGTCAGATTCTGCTAAGTCACGAAACAAAGCGATTAATCACCCCACGAAGATATCGAACAATATACACGCCCTGAAGGATGCCTAAGACAAAATCCCACTAGAAGAAGAAATCATGACCGATTCGAATGTAGCTAGAAAATAATGTTGGAGCGGCGGTTAAACTCTCAAAAATGCTACTTGGCGAACAAAAAATAATAGCAGACAATGAAACACAAAAACTCAGATCAACTGTTGCGACCTAAGCTAGCGATCTCGAACCCCTTATCTCCACGCTTCGGATACGACTAATGCCACCATGCTGAAACAAAGTAAAAACGGCTGGGATCGACGGAATTTTTCACTGATTTTTAAAAACTCCCGGAACGTACGCTGGACACTGGTTGGCTACCATGCATACGGAAAGTAGCGAGAAA